CATCAAGGGTACCATCCTGAGATCCAAGTGCGGATCAATCCAATGTCGGCAATGCCTGCAGCCGCTGATCGGCTCAAGATCCTGAAGGAGATTCGCGACGATACGCGCTCTGCGCTCGAGCTGTCAGCCGAGCGTATGAAAGTGTACTACGATAAGCACATGCAAAAGGCACCGGTCTTTGCGCCGGGGGACAAGGTCTGGCTTGACGCTCGGAACCTTAAGCTGAAACAGCCGAGCAAGAAGCTTAGTCCCAAACGCCTCGGACCTTATGCCGTGCGGCGAAAGCTCGGAGACCTGGATTACGAATTAGTCCTGCCAAAGTCGGTGCCGGTACACCCGGTATTCCATGTCTCCTTGCTTAGCAAGTACATGCGTAGCGAGATCCCGGGCCGGGAGCCGGAGGAGCCGCCTGCGATCGAGGTTGAGGGCGACGAAGAGTACGAGGTTGAGCGGATCAAGGATTCGTGGATCTTCCGGCGTCAGCTACAGTACCTCGTCAAGTGGAAGGGTTATGACGACTCGCATACGTCATGGGAACTGGCGCGCAACGTCGCCAATGCGCCGGCCCTCATAGCCGACTTCCATCGGAAGAATCCGAACGCCCCTCGTCGACTCAACGCTGCTACCTTTGGTGGTCTCAACTTTCAGCCAATGCCTTCGCCGCTGACTGAAGCACGCTGCCGCTCCGGGTGGGAGATGGGCAAGGGCGCCTCGCATGAGGTCATGCGCTGTTGAGGGGGGGTAATGTCACGAGTTGGTACGGCGCCTAGCCGTTTTTTAATTTTTTCCTTTTCGCGGGCTCGAACCCGCGACCTCTGTACTACTTGCCTGATATGGACGCGTCGTTATCTACTGTACGATTAGATTAGATAGGACGGCAGTGCGCGGCACAGCTCGGGCTCCGCTGACACAGCCGCTCTGACTCACCGGCCCCCGTGACCGCGTCGGCATGCTGTGCACAGACCAGCTGCGCACGGACCAGCGCGCACAGCCTGCCCTTATCTCCCCATGTATATAAGCCGGCCTCTGCTGCCCTAGGGACCTCAGTTTCGACCTCTTGTCCCTAGGTCAGTAAGCTCCTTTGTATCCTTTACTTACCTGTACTAACTAATACATTTCTTGTCCCTAGCCTTAGGTTTGAGCGTTGCTCGCCATCGCTTCAGTAAGATCTAGTCGGACGCCCCCAGCCCTTCAGTTTTCTCTAGTCGCTTGACCTCAAGTCGCGACAGTTAAGTAAGAAAGAGAATACATGAGAGGCTTACTGACCTAGGGACAAGAGGTCGAAACTGAGGTCCCTAGGGCAGCAGAGGCCGGCTTATATACAGGGGAAGATGAGGGCAGGCTGTGCGCGTTGGTCCGTGCACAGCTGGTCTGTGCGCAGCATGCTGACGCGGCCCCGGGGGTTGGTGAGTCAGAGAGGCTGTGTCAGCAGAGCCCGAGCTGTGCCACACACTGCCGCCCCATCTAATCTAATTGTACAGTAGATAACAATGTGTCCATATCAGGTATATAGTACAGAGGTTGCGGGTTCGAGCCCACAAAAAGGAAAAAATTAAAAAAATGGCTAGACGCCGTGTCAACTCGTGACACCCTCATGTTGGAACAACAGTGCGAACAGCGCGGGGCGCGTTTGTCCACGGGCATAGTGATGCATGTAAGGGACAATCGCGTGCGGTACATACATCGCGCGGGGTCGTTATATACTTTGATAGGGGCCTCCGGCCCCCAGCTATTCGTGCGCCCGAGCTTTCGAGCTCGTTCCTGACCACGCGGGGCTGCGCGTTTCAACACCTCATACATCATGGCTCCCACAGATGTCGATGGACGTCCGGACCTTCCCAAACATCGAGCAGTCGATCAAGTCCTGTGCTTCGAATGCTGTAATATCTCCAATCGGCTTGCATCCGGGTGCCCGGGCTCTGAATTGTTGGATTCAATAGCCACAATGCATTAAGCTTAGCTCTACAAGGTGCCTTTCGGGAACGCGCGTACCTTACTGCAGCTAACAGCACCCGGACATCTTGTCGTTGGTCTCACGCTCCGTACGTATCGTGGAGCATAGGGACCGTCGGTGTCCCGCTAGACTTGAATGAGTATGGACATGCCAGAGGGGTTCAATCCCAAGACTCGAAGGCTCCAAAAGCACAGCAGATTATGTGAGTATATTCGCCTCATGATGATAGCAATGATAGTTCATCCATCTCCACTTCCGTACACTTTGAAGGCTGCGGCGCGGCACTTATCCTGGAATTCGATGGAGGATCAGCACTCCATGTGTGCGTAGATCCCTTTACCGTTAGTATTTGACAAGTAGTATGAGCAAGGCACGCACATTCGGATACAGTGTCTACAGGAAACAGCTTGAGTCATCAGGCGAGCGCCACAATCGGCCACAATTCGAGGCGTAGTACGCGGGGCAGTATAGCTGACTGCAGTGGTCTTGACGCAGAACTTGATATGTCATCGCGACTGTTGCAGATAGCTAGCTGTTTATATTTCCGTCTCATCAATTCGCTGATGCTTACAGCCTACTAGGCAATGAGCTAGCCGGCTGCCTAATCTCGCGCACGAATGTTGCAAACACCAAACTCTCGCGGGGATCCGAAGAGATGTATAATCAGCCTATGCCATTCTTAGAAACATCAAAGCATGCCTAGATAGGCCGATTTTAACAAGATCGTAGGTTCCATCTTCTCCTCGACGAGGTCACGGGCCTCGCGGATGTCCAGGGTAGCTAGGATGTTCACTTCCGCTAGCCAAGCATTCATACCCGCCAGCTGACGACCGAAAAGGATGCCACGAGCAGAAGATGTCCACAGTTTATGAGCGGATACGGGTCTCAGCAGGACCCCGGCGAATCCCCCAGAGGTTCGGGGGTAGATAAGATTTGTCACGATCTAGGGATTTCAGGCACACCGCACTTCGACGTACCTTGGAAGAATTCACGGAATTTGGAGGAGATCGGTGACAGATTGGTCTCACAAAACGTGAAATATTGCTAAAAGTGGATCATATTGGGATCGCTCTGGGAGGGGAGGGGCTCGCCGGGGTCCTGTCTCAGCTGCCAGCACAGTGCGGCTCAAACCCGAAGTCACTTGCCTTGACCGTTCTGCGTTCAACTGGAACAAACACACGGTCTATTTGGCACCTCGCCGCTATTGAATCACCTCCATTGTTTTGAAGCTCCCCAACTACTTCAACACAGCCGCGCTTTACAGCGCCTTCAGAGTATACCGACGAGCTAGCAGTTCGAGGGAAGAATTGGACACATACGTCACAGATCGTTCAACTGAACGGTCTCGCCATGCATGACCTAGATCTCACATCGCTGGAGGACGCAGAGCAGGTGCTGTGTGCCTGTACCTTTTCTTTTCACGTCTTCGCTTGGAAAATAAGACTCGATGTTACTGCTTGGTTCGGTGAACTGCGACGTTGCAGCACTGTATATATGAATAGAAATGCATTTGTTGCGTTAAGGATAATACGATCTCTTGATTGAAACCTCGGTCCGTGATGACAGGTCAACTGACTCGGTGCGGTGCTTCCTTTCGGCACACTTGGGCCTAGGTCTCAGGGCAGATTTCGTGTGGGAAGTAAGCATTGTAGACGCTCGCTGTTATGTACAACTACGTACACAGGTCGATATACATTCCTAGGGCTAGCGTTCACCCTTGTCTGTACCGCTGACCTAGTGCGAGGAGAGTGGAGGCCATTCAAGAGTGACAGAGCTGCGAAGAACATTGGTGAGTCTCGTGTAGCTACTACAGTGGGTATTTTTGAACGTCTCGGGAAACCCCTTGGCATTCAGCCATGTCGGTGTATTGTGATCCATGTCAGCGCTGGTTCGTAAACTCGTCCGCGCTGGAACAACACGAGCAGGACTCTCTCGAACATAAACCCTTTGAATGTCCCGTCTGCGATGATGTACGTCATTCATCCGGGCGCCTCATTTCCGCCTATCTCACCGCTGCCGTAGCGCTTCCACGACGAGGACGAGACTAACGAGCATCGCGAGGAAGAGCATAACTGCTGCATCGAATGTGAACGCTACTTCGGAAGCTCGGAAGCTCTGGAGCAACACCGTCAGGGTTCTTCCAAGCACAACCCGTTTGAATGCCCTACCTGTGACGATGTGCGCTGTCCTCAGGCACGCCGATTATGCGACTGATATCTTGCACACAGCGCTTCTCTGAGCAAGACGACCTCGACGAGCACCGCGAGGAGGCCCACTACTGTTGTATTGAATGTGATCGGCACTTCGTGAACGAGGGCGCACTAGAACAGCACCGCCAGACCTCTTCCAAGCATTGCATCGAGTGCCCTACTTGCGACGATGTAAGGTTTCTCATGTTCGACGTGCCCACGTGCGCTAACATATTTGTAGACCTTCAGCTCCGAGGACGACCTCAACGAGCATCGCGCAGAAGAGCACAACCGCTGCACCGAGTGCGAGCGGGACTTCCAGAGCAAGCAGAACCTGCAGACCCACCTGAAGTCGTCCGTGCATCAAGACAGGACCCTGCCGTGTCCAGGCCGCGAGTGCACTAAGCGGTTTATGTCCGGTTCTGGGTTGCTGTTGCACCTCGAGTCCGGCACGTGCTCTTCGAAGCTGACGCTTGAGCGCATCAAGTCCAATATGGTCGGACGAGCGCGTCGCATCTCATCACAGAGCCAGAAGGCTACGCCACGTCGCCGCCCCCAATGATCTTCAACAAGATATCGATGTGGTTCAATTGCCAGAACCATGGATGGTCCCTGTGCTACCGAGAGTACAAGGTTCGATCGGCTAAACCAGCATCTCAACGGTCTTGCCCATGACGAGACCTACAGATTTCTGAAGGCGTGGGGTCGGCGCGGCACAGATTGTCGCACATTGACCGCGCCCTGCCAGCATCGAGAGCGAGACCTGTGGCTATCTTATGTTTGACGATCCGATGTAGAACATCACCGGGAAGACATTCGCGGCCTTGAAGGGGCACTCCACATCTGTATTATATCTATTGAAATGTTGATGTATGCATCGCCATCCGATTGTCAATCTACATCGTACTCCTTATAGCCCCCGACAGTTATGAACGGCGTCCCTGAGTCAGAACACGCTAGACCATGGTAATAGAATGGAATAACATCTCTTTTCTCTCCTTTGTTTCAGGGACACGTTACCCCTTATCGTTTCCTGACGATATATCCTCAGGCTCGGGTTCAAGCAGATGGGTGGATGGAAGGCAAATGAATGCGGTTCGGAATTACCTAAACCAGGGACTGTATCACGAAGTTGGGTAAGTGCAAGAGCCAGCAGCCAGGAAAAGCTGTGGAAATCCTCCTCGAGAATACCAAGGATCATATACAGGAGAATTTCGAGGACTTTCAGAACATCGCTGCATCATGGCGTGCGTTGTCAATGCGATGTAGTTGTTACATTTTCAATGCGATTAGCTGAATACATCGTAAATGCCGAGACACGGGTCAATCTACTAGGGAGGATAGGTGGGGACACGGCATCTCACGCTACCGGCGATTGTCTGCGTCACAGACAAACGTTGAACCTGTTGTAAACATAACGTGACCGTGTGTGAAACACAATTCAGAGGCATGAGGATGTGACGTTCCAGCGCCAGTTATCAACCGAACGCGATACACACACGAGAGTGCTGAGTAGCTGCAATGTTACCGCAGGTCAACATTGGGATGTTGACGCAGAGACTCAGCGATGCCTGCCAGTATTCTCATCCAAGCCTGAGCCACGTTCGGGCACGTGATACGTGTTAGAGCTGTGGTTCAACAGTCGTCAGCTCGAGTCAGTCTCGCGACGTCCTCTTTGCTCTTCGCTATCCAGGCCTCGTACCTCACTGTCTAGCGGCTATCGTGCATTTTCGTCATTCAAGTGCAGAATATTGGTCTAGCTGTGCTGTCAGTCAGTAACAGACGACTAATTGTAAGCACATGGAATCTTGCATCCTCTTTCCTCCAGTATTTTCACGAACACTGCTACACAAGTAGCTATAGCCTTCTAATGCACACCTGATGGCTTACTGCGAACGATGCCAGCGTTGGTTCGGCAGCGAGCGCGCGCTGCAGCAGCACGAAGAGAATTCTAGCATGCACCATCTTTGCGATAGCTGCGACAGGGATTTTGTCTCTGAACACGCTCTCATTCAACACTATGTGCAAAGCACACGCCATCACTATTGCCAGCGCTGCGATGAACATTACTCTTCGCAAGGTAATCTGGACTCTCATTTCGAGAGCAGTCACTATTGGTGCCCCGCCTGCAATATGGTCAGTACTCTGATCCTAGCTTAAATCATCCCACCGGTTTGATACATCTTTCTGCCTCAGTTCTTCAAGAACGATAACGGGCTCCACGAACACAGACGCCAGAAGCACTGGTATTGCATCGAATGCAAGCGCGTCTACCAGAGCGAAAGCAACCTGCGCGCTCACCAGCGGTCCTCCGTCCATCAACAAGCCAACATTCCCTGCGTCGACACGCGCTGCAACCGAAAGTTCGTCTCCGTTTCCGCGCTCGCGCTGCACCTCGAGTCGGGCACGTGCCCGTCGCGCCTCACTCGCGCGCAGATCAATCGCCTTGTCGCGCGTTACGACACGAACAATGTCATCACGGATCCTGCACGGCTCATTCAGGGTCCCAATGGGTATAGCACACTGCAGAGAACGGTAACGGCCTGGGCGACGGAGCGGTCCTGGAACGGGTCTGCATACGAGTGCTTCCTTTGCCACAAGATGTACACAACCCTCGCCGTGCTGAACCAGCACCTTGCAAGCCCGGCGCATGATGACAAGATCTATCGTTGCCCGCGAGCCTACTCGGGCTGCGGTGAGACGTTTAGGGCACTCAGCGCCTTGTGTCAGCACGTCGAAAGCGAGCAATGTGGCATTCGCAGGTTCAATCACTCGATGCGCAATGTCCTCGCCGATCTGTCCACCGGAATGGCGCGGCTCACATTCTGAAAGTCTTCCTGTGGTGGTGTTTTTTCGCTTCGCTCTGGGACAAAAAGTGTCTCGAGGTTACCCCATGTTACCAGCAATACATTGAATCTGCCTTCGCTCGCTCGCTCTTGCCCGCCTTTCAAGTTCCCATTTCCCGATCATCAGCTGCGGTCCTCGATTTCCTCAATGATTCGTAATGAACCATCTGTCGCCAGACGACCAACCAGCTTCCGGTGAGTCGTCAGCGAATACTGTGTAATTATATGCACATCATCATTTTGTTGTACGCAGGACCTCACAATCGTGCAAATGGTGATTTGTCGTCGTTGGATCACAGTCGTGTCGATGCAGGATAGATAAGCTACGCTGATGCATCAACCCTGGCTAGGACCACAAGGACGTCGTCGTTGTCGGCATGCACGTCTCCATGAAGTTATTACAGAGTAGTATGTTCCTTCCGCATTCGTTTTGGTGCAGCACGTCGATCAGAGTCAGGCCTTCAGCGCAACGTCCTCGTACCTGCGTGCAATGACTATGTGCTTAGAGCTCGACCTGTCGATATTTTGCATCATGTATACTCTCTAGCAAACCTGAATTTGATAGTGTTTTGCTGTTCACGACAATGATGGCCTTCCGGCGACACGAGTACTAGTGGCTGCATCTACCAGACGAGTGACCATCTCCGTCCGGCGATGCCTCGTGGCTACACCTAAATAGATTTCGCTTCACCATACTGTAGGCGGCGTCTCATCGAGCTTCGCGGGCGCTTACACAGGCATCGATCGCGACACCTCGTGAGTTGACCTTTTCCTCTCAACGTTTATAGTGTTTTCCTACACCCATAATCCCACCGTATCAAGAGAGCGAAGTTGCGCGTAGGTTGTAGGCGGCTTTCAAACATCATAGACTGTGGTGCGTCGCCAGATTCGCGTATGAGGGCTGCACCTGCTCACGCAAATATGTGCCAACGAAGACAAGCTAGCGCGATGGCGGCATTCAACGCGGCGGCGTTCCAGATGGCCTTGTTTAACATGGCTGCTTTGAACAATTTAGCTGCGTTGAACATGGAGACGATGAGGTTGGCGTGGCTGAATGCGGCAACGTATAACATGCCGGCGCAGAGCGTGAATGTGTGCTGTTATCAATGCAGTCGGTGGTTTATCAGTGTCGAATCACTACGGGAACATTTCCAGAACTCTCCAGAGCATGCGGTTATTCAGTGTCCACTGTGTCACTATGTGCGTCCCTACTTATCGTAATATGAAATGCAGCTTATGCATTCATTATAGCTGTTCGTTACTCAAAGCAACCTTGACAACCACCGCATCAACAAGCACAACTGTTGTATTCAATGCAATCGTAACTTTGAGAACAATAAGGCTCTCGAGGCACACGAGGCATCACCCTTCAGGCATATTCCGCTTGGGTGCCCCAAATGCAACATCGTGCATTCTTTCACTGATTCTATGCCTGCAGCATGCTTACATGGTTGCTGCACAGATATTCAAGGCCGATGTTGATCTAGATGGTCATCTCGCCGAGTCGCATCACTACTGCGTCGAATGCAGGCGCTTTTTCGCCTGTGAAGGTAATCTGCAGACGCACTTGAGGTCGTCTAAACACAAGGAGAGAACGGTGCCTTGCCCGGGGATGAAGTGCCAAAAGCTCTTCCTCTCCGGTGCGGGGCTCCTCAACCACCTCGAATCCGGCGGCTGCCGCTCAGGGGCGAACCGTCACCACGTGAACGCGCTCGCCGTGCGGTACGACAAGGCGAACGTCATCACGAACGCTTCGCGCTTGCTACCCGGGCTCGATGGGTATGTGCCACCAAAACCACCGGTGATCGCCATTGCAACGGCGAGCTCATTCAATGGCTCGCAATACGAGTGCTTTCTGTGCCACCGGAGCTTCAAGACCCTCGGCCGCCTCAACGAGCATATGCAGAGCCCGGCGCACGACGCGGAGATATATAGGTGCCCGACGAAGTGGGAGGGGTGCGGCGCCGAGTTCCGCACGCTGAGTGGGCTCTGCCAGCATGTGGAGAGCGAGGCGTGCGAAATTCGTCGTTTCAACCAGCCCATGCAAGACGTCATCGGCGACGTGACGCAGGCGTTGGGTAAGAGGCTCGCTCTTTGACAAGGCGGGGAGAGGCATGATCGGAGATATACTATCGTTCCTCTTTGAACTTTGTATTCCTCCGCTCTAGACACCCAGCTCTCTTCCCTCGCTTTCGCCCTGCTATCTTACGCGACAGACATGCGCAACCTACTGTACAGTAGGCCATTGGACCGATTTACGATGTCACCAGCACAGAGTGCTGTCGTTACAGGCTGTGCCGATTACATCGTATCCAGCGCTACTCCCTGTGATGAGTGAATTAGGGATGTTTGGCTTGTACGGAACATGTTGCATTAAGGATAAAAGACATGGACATCCTGATGCTCGCGATGGTGTCTAGCATTCGTCAGTGTATGCCCTTATTTGGCTTTGTATTCTAAACGAGGAGATGCTCCTTCTTGAAAGACCGTCCCGATACCATAACCTCAGCACGTTATCTAGGCAAGTCCCGGAGAAGCATACCTGCACGCATCGGCAGGTATGCAGACTTGGACACGCATCCAGCCATGCTCTGGTGCCATCTCCCACTCAGACAGTACTTTGAACAGCACGACGAGCAGTAACAGCAAGTTGCTCACCTGCCATCGCCTTACACGCTATATTGGACGTGCATAGTTCTGAGCACATAATCTGTGCGTATCACCGTGCTAGACAGTTATCGTGTCTTCATCTCTCGTCTGGTCCATACAGCTTCCTCCGTATTCCACTATGACGTACTGCTCTGCATGCGATAGGCGCTTCGCTTCAGAGAATGCCCTCCAATCTCACGCAACAGCCGTGCATTCTTCGGACTTCAATCTTTGCTCCTTGTGCCATGCAGTAAGATGTCCTCATTCAATGCCGTAAACACTTATCCGAGCTGTGAAATCCGTCTTCAAGGGATTCCACTCCCCTAGCCAATTGAAAAAGCATAAGATAAAGCGACACAATCTCTACAACAAATGCAACAAATGCAACAAATGCTTCGACACGGCTGCAGACCTTCACGGTCACTTGATCGAGCATAAGAAAAAACCCAAGAAACCTCTGCTTTGCCCGGGACGCAAATGCAACAGGCGCTTCAAGCTTGCCGGGGGATTAATTTCGCACCTCGAATCAGGGGCGTGTAAGTCGGGCGTAACGAGGGAACAGGTCAATCAAATCGCGGTGGAGCTTGACAAGACAAACGTGGTGACCAATCCCGCTCGGCTCGTGCAAGGCCCCGACGGACCTGCTGCGCCCAGACGAGCCATCACCTCCCTCGCGACCTCCCTCTCTTTTAACGGGAAGGGATTCGAATGTTCCTTTGCCATCGGGAGTTCGAGGCTCTTAGAGGCCTCAATGATCACCTTGCCAGCGCGGTACACGATGACNAGATCTACATGTGTCCCAAGCAATGGGAGGGATGTGGTCAAGAATTCAGCGCCCTCAGTGTTCTCTGTCATCACG